AATTTGGATAAACTATTGTTCATTCGAAACTACATTAAAAACAGCCAATAAAACTTGTTCTAAGCTGATTCTACAGTAACCCTATCTATTTGAAAAAATTTTTGAAAAAATTATTTTGAATATTTTTTGGGACATGGAAGACTAAGAGAGGTGTTTCTCCGCGAATACATGACGAATTTGGATAAACTATTGTTCATTCGAAACTACATTAAAAACAGCCAATAAAACTTGTTCTAAGCTGATTCTACAGTAACCCTATCTATTTGAAAAAATTTTTGAAAAAATTATTTTGAATATTTTTTGGGACATGGAAGACTAAGAGAGGTGTTTCTCCGCGAATACATGACGAATTTGGATAAACTATTGTTCATTCGAAACTACATTAAAAACAGCCAATAAAACTTGTTCTAAGCTGATTCTACAGTAACCCTATCTATTTGAAAAAATTTTTGAAAAAATTATTTTGAATATTTTTTGGGACATGGAAGACTAAGAGAGGTGTTTCTCCGCGAATACATGACGAATTTGGATAAACTATTGTTCATTCGAAACTACATTAAAAACAGCCAATAAAACTTGTTCTAAGCTGATTCTACAGTAACCCTATCTATTTGAAAAAATTTTTGAAAAAATTATTTTGAATATTTTTTGGGACATGGAAGACTAAGAGAGGTGTTTCTCCGCGAATACATGACGAATTTGGATAAACTATTGTTCATTCGAAACTACATTAAAAACAGCCAATAAAACTTGTTCTAAGCTGATTCTACAGTAACCCTATCTATTTGAAAAAATTTTTGAAAAAATTATTTTGAATATTTTTTGGGACATGGAAGACTAAGAGAGGTGTTTCTCCGCGAATACATGACGAATTTGGATAAACTATTGTTCATTCGAAACTACATTAAAAACAGCCAATAAAACTTGTTCTAAGCTGATTCTACAGTAACCCTATCTATTTGAAAAAATTTTTGAAAAAATTATTTTGAATATTTTTTGGGACATGGAAGACTAAGAGAGGTGTTTCTCCGCGAATACATGACGAATTTGGATAAACTATTGTTCATTCGAAACTACATTAAAAACAGCCAATAAAACTTGTTCTAAGCTGATTCTACAGTAACCCTATCTATTTGAAAAAATTTTTGAAAAAATTATTTTGAATATTTTTTGGGACATGGAAGACTAAGAGAGGTGTTTCTCCGCGAATACATGACGAATTTGGATAAACTATTGTTCATTCGAAACTACATTAAAAACAGCCAATAAAACTTGTTCTAAGCTGATTCTACAGTAACCCTATCTATTTGAAAAAATTTTTGAAAAAATTATTTTGAATATTTTTTGGGACATGGAAGACTAAGAGAGGTGTTTCTCCGCGAATACATGACGAATTTGGATAAACTATTGTTCATTCGAAACTACATTAAAAACAGCCAATAAAACTTGTTCTAAGCTGATTCTACAGTAACCCTATCTATTTGAAAAAATTTTTGAAAAAATTATTTTGAATATTTTTTGGGACATGGAAGACTAAGAGAGGTGTTTCTCCGCGAATACATGACGAATTTGGATAAACTATTGTTCATTCGAAACTACATTAAAAACAGCCAATAAAACTTGTTCTAAGCGGATTCTACAGTAACCCTATCTATTTGAAAAAATTTTTGAAAAAATTATTTTGAATATTTTTTGGGACATGGAAGACTAAGAGAGGTGTTTCTCCGCGAATACATGACGAATTTGGATAAACTATTGTTCATTCGAAACTACATTAAAAACAGCCAATAAAACTTGTTCTAAGCTGATTCTACAGTAACCCTATCTATTTGAAAAAATTTTTGAAAAAATTATTTTGAATATTTTTTGGGACATGGAAGACTAAGAGAGGTGTTTCTCCGCGAATACATGACGAATTTGGATAAACTATTGTTCATTCGAAACTACATTAAAAACAGCCAATAAAACTTGTTCTAAGCTGATTCTACAGTAACCCTATCTATTTGAAAAAATTTTTGAAAAAATTATTTTGAATATTTTTTGGGACATGGAAGACTAAGAGAGGTGTTTCTCCGCGAATACATGACGAATTTGGATAAACTATTGTTCATTCGAAACTACATTAAAAACAGCCAATAAAACTTGTTCTAAGCTGATTCTACAGTAACCCTATCTATTTGAAAAAATTTTTGAAAAAATTATTTTGAATATTTTTTGGGACATGGAAGACTAAGAGAGGTGTTTCTCCGCGAATACATGACGAATTTGGATAAACTATTGTTCATTCGAAACTACATTAAAAACAGCCAATAAAACTTGTTCTAAGCTGATTCTACAGTAACCCTATCTATTTGAAAAAATTTTTGAAAAAATTATTTTGAATATTTTTTGGGACATGGAAGACTAAGAGAGGTGTTTCTCCGCGAATACATGACGAATTTGGATAAACTATTGTTCATTCGAAACTACATTAAAAACAGCCAATAAAACTTGTTCTAAGCTGATTCTACAGTAACCCTATCTATTTGAAAAAATTTTTGAAAAAATTATTTTGAATATTTTTTGGGACATGGAAGACTAAGAGAGGTGTTTCTCCGCGAATACATGACGAATTTGGATAAACTATTGTTCATTCGAAACTACATTAAAAACAGCCAATAAAACTTGTTCTAAGCTGATTCTACAGTAACCCTATCTATTTGAAAAAATTTTTGAAAAAATTATTTTGAATATTTTTTGGGACATGGAAGACTAAGAGAGGTGTTTCTCCGCGAATACATGACGAATTTGGATAAACTATTGTTCATTCGAAACTACATTAAAAACAGCCAATAAAACTTGTTCTAAGCTGATTCTACAGTAACCCTATCTATTTGAAAAAATTTTTGAAAAAATTATTTTGAATATTTTTTGGGACATGGAAGACTAAGAGAGGTGTTTCTCCGCGAATACATGACGAATTTGGATAAACTATTGTTCATTCGAAACTACATTAAAAACAGCCAATAAAACTTGTTCTAAGCTGATTCTACAGTAACCCTATCTATTTGAAAAAATTTTTGAAAAAATTATTTTGAATATTTTTTGGGACATGGAAGACTAAGAGAGGTGTTTCTCCGCGAATACATGACGAATTTGGATAAACTATTGTTCATTCGAAACTACATTAAAAACAGCCAATAAAACTTGTTCTAAGCTGATTTTACAGTAACCCTATCTATTTGAAAAAATTTTTGAAAAAATTATTTTGAATATTTTTTGGGACATGGAAGACTAAGAGAGGTGTTTCTCCGCGAATACATGACGAATTTGGATAAACTATTGTTCATTCGAAACTACATTAAAAACAGCCAATAAAACTTGTTCTAAGCTGATTCTACAGTAACCCTATCTATTTGAAAAAATTTTTGAAAAAATTATTTTGAATATTTTTTGGGACATGGAAGACTAAGAGAGGTGTTTCTCCGCGAATACATGACGTATTGGCTCATTCGAAGGTCTATATTTGATATATACCGTATTTGTAAAATAGTTGCCCCGGGTAATTATTGTTTTAACCTCTATTTGGAGGGGGTACTTATAAGGGAGGAGTGATTATTTGAGCGTTTGAAGACACGCTGATTAGAAACCATTTTAAATTGGTATAATTATTTTTTTGATCTCTATGTATTATTTCAATTTATTATCTTTATTAGATTTACTAAAGTATATACTTAGCTTCTCTACTCGCCAAGGCAGTTTCATTATTTTTTGGAAGTTGGGTATACCCCCAACTAGAAAAAGATTAGAATGATATTATTAGCTACACTTTTCGAACTCTATGTATGCATCTAGCTTGTGACTTTTGAATTTAAATCTGGAATCAAATAATGACCAATTATTTTTTCTACTCATAATTGTAACCTAGACATTTTGAGGACAATTTATGGTATTTTCAGTGGTCTACTTTATGAAACACATGCCATGAGCTTTTAAGAGTTCCATGAATCCCTCTCAAGTAGGTTGGGGGCCCTGTCCAGTCCGAAAGACCGAGTCATGCATCGAATTTTTGCCTGAAAAGGCTCAGTCGGACCGGTCCGATAAAAATGATGCCTGAAAAAAGACTTGAACGTCGGCCACGCGAAAACCCTAACCCTACTCTCAAGTATCTCATATCCTCTATAAGCCTCCAAAATCCTCCGATAAACCTCTTAACCCCAACCAGATATCTTTTAATCCAAACAAATCCCTCGATAACCCACTAAATTCTTTCTTAATTACTTCTATCTCCATATATACATCAATGGAGACTCAACTATTCATCCCCGCAGGGGAATTTTTAAGAATTTTGGAAGGCCAAGGACCCAAATTCTTCCATTTTTAACGGCGGTGGCAATTTATGGGGATAATTAATAATCCCGTACAGGACCACATCCCCTTGCCGACCTCTTGTATTTGCCTATACTACTTTTGGGACGCTTTTACTTTGATAGGATGACTTTATTGTTTATCCGCTTTTTCATTTCAACATGTGTTTATTTTTTATTTTTATATTTATTTGTTCAAAGAGTAGCAAGCATGTGTTCAATTTATTTTTATTTTCATTTTAAGCTTATTTGTTACATTTCTTCGATTTTTCTGCCAAATTTTTTTTATATTTTTTTAAAATTTATTACTACATATTTCGTTTTCTAGAATCAGCCTTGGGGCACGAACTTATTAGATATCTGGGTTTAGTCTGTCGTAACTGAGTCGACAGTCCACATAGTTATTTTTAATTGTTTCCACCTCCGTCATTCTTGTATTTACACTCGTAATAAATACATATTTTATTCTTTTTATTCTGTTAGCCATTAAGTTAGGCCGCACACTGATTAGAATTGAAATTTTAGACAAAATGTCATTTAAAGGGCAATACGCCAAACATTAAATTACCGCCAAATTTTGTCCTTTTATCTTAGTTTTTCCTTTTTTCAAGATCAAGATTTCAAGATTAAAATATAAGATCAAAATTTCAGAGATTATTTCTTTATTTCTACTTAATATTAAATTAATTATAATGACAATGCATTGTGGAGGAACTCGTTGTGCAAAAGATTCTTGCAGGTGTACATGTGCTTGTCAGTTTGCCTGTATGGGGCCTTGTGCTAAATGCAGAAGGCATCAAATGTTAAGACAATGCTTACTTTCTAAGGTTTTCGGATTTTAATTTTGAATCCGTATACTGATGAGTAGTACATACAAAGAGTAGTTTGGGTTCAATCGGACACACCCAAAACGGCGCGAGGCCATAACGGCGCAAAGCACAAACTTGCTTCAAGATTTTTGAATGTTAACAAATTTAGCATCCAACGTTTCAGCTCATCGAGCTAAAGGCTTGGCACCAAAATTGTTAAAGGCCAGACATTTCCCAGTAAGTTATGGCTTTGCTTCGTTATGGCCGCGCGCCGTTTTGGGATGTACCTCTTCAAACTCTCATTATCCTCAGGAATTTATTTTACTCCTCATTTATTCAACTCGAACAAATTTTGCATGTTTTTCCAGTCCTTACTCATTAGTTTTAGCTAAATAGAAAATTTATTCTCACATTTTTAGGGAGCCAATATTTGTGGACAATGTTGTGGCCATTCAATTTGTGAGTCAGGCTGGAGTGAAACCAAAAGTAGACGAAATGTAACATCATCTAGAACAACCTCTTATTATTAAAAATTTAATTATTTTACAATTGAAAAGTTGTGTATATTACACGAAAAATAAAATGTTTATTTAGTAATTGGAAAAGCACGAAGGTCATAAATCTGGATAAATGAGATCCCGGACACGCCCATAACGGCGCGCAGCCATAAAGGCTAAAAGCCATAATTTGGTGGAAAATGTCTGGCCCTTATAAATTTTGGTACCAATCTCCTAGGCTCGATGAGAGGAATCATTTGATACTAAATTTGATAAGATTAGAAAATTTTGAAGCAAGATAAGACTTTGCGTCATCATGGCCGCGTGCCGTTTTGGGCGTGTCCCTCTAATTAAGACCCACACTTAATAGCTTTGAAAAATTTGAACAATATTGAATTACTAATTTAAAAATATTGAATTACTAGACGAATTATTGCAACTGAAACTTTAGCAGTATCTCTTCTTTCTTTTCAATTTTTTGGATGTCAAATATATACTTTGACAATCATTATTATAGTCCGGATTTTACTAGTGATTTGATAGTAAATAGACCTTAGATTATTTCAATATTTCACAAATTTTTGGCATTTTTTGTCTATATTTTTCCAATTTATTGCAATATTTTATGGCCATATTTTACGATTTTATTTCAATTAAAATCTGGACTCTAATCATTATATGAAGTAAAACAGGGTACTTTATGGATATATCACCCCCCTATTTTGAGTCTCAGTTTTCCTTAATATGCAATAATGGTCATCATTCATTCTTTCCACACTATCCATTTCCCTGTGGCTCAGGAGAAGACCTTAATTATGGTTAATTATAGGCAACATTGCAAAAAAAATCTTTTCTTTACTAATTCCTCTCAATTAAATACGCCACAGGGAAATGGATAGAAATTGTGGAAGGAAGGAAGGCTGACCATTATTGCATATTAAGGAAAACTGAGACTCAAAAAATGATTAATCCATTCAAATAAAAAATCGTTTATTAAAATTAACAATCAAACAATAATCATTATGATTTGAATATTTAAATCAACAATCATTCAATTATTCACTTAAAAATGTTCATGCGCTACCATCTCCCATTAATATGTTCTGTAAATTTAAAAAATTAAGTTCTCAACCCAATCCTTTGACCACAATATATCGCAAGCCAAAAGCACAGCAGAGCTATAGCTTCGTTCAAAATGACGCTCTGGTATGGTTCGATGCGCCTCGTCGAGCTGAATCGAATCGCACAGAGGTTTCCCGGATTACTATGACTAGAAAACTAGCATAAGCTCGGTACAAAAACTGGGAACTAATTTAAGGCCCAGGCTGAGTAGTTTAAAAAATTTTGAATAATATTTAATTACACTAATACTTGGGTTATTTATAATCGAGAAATAATTTTAAAATAACGCCTCCTTCTCTCGCTTGATAAATATTTTTGGATGTCAAATATAACCTTTGACAATTATTACAGCAAAACAGAACTTAGTTATCTATTCCTTCAGCTAATTCAAAAGGTCTATGTCAAAATATCTAAAAATTAAAACATACTAAATGAAAAAGGCGAAACAAATTTCGCATTCGGAAAATTTCGCAAATTTCGCATCGGAAAAAAGCGAAATTTTTCGTCGGACCAAAAAGCGAAATGCGAAACTTTTCGCGCTAAAAAATGCGAGAATGCGAAAGATGCGAAACGCGAAATTGCAAAATAAGCCCAGCCCTGGTGAACAATCCTATTATTAACCTACTTCCAATTTATCTCAAATATTTTTTTTTAAATTACCATATTCATTTCGAATTCCCATTTGCTAATGACGCCATCATGATCAATGTCCATCTATAAAATTTCGAAAATAATGAAAATTTAAAGGTTCTGTTTTCAAATTTAGGCTACTTTATCATAAGGAGAAATAACCATAGATATCGGAAAAATAGCCTGAGCATTGCTTGGCTTACAAAAATACTATGCGAACCTTGGATTTATATGCTACTATCTATCACATTTAAATAATGTACATATAAAAATTTATTTATGAAAAAATATATATTTTTTGGATTTCTGAAATTTCTAACAACGAGAAGGACAAAACACGGCCTAAAAATGGAATTACTAGAGACGTGCGAGACCGAAAATTTTTCAAGACTCAAGACCAAAAATAACAATACTCAAGAATATTTTTTGGTTCAATGGGCAAGACCAAGACTTCACCCCAAGACCGAGAAAATCCCAAGAAAATTCTTGGAATCAAGACTAAGAGTCTCGTAAGTCTCTAGGATTTGTCAATTTCCCGGTTTCAAAAACGCCATTAATTAATTCGGTGGCACTTACCAAAACACCCATCTAGTCTATAGAACACAGCTTGTCTCTAGTTTTCACTCTAATTTCATCAAATCTTCAACCCACCCATTCTTTAATATATTGCAAGGAATATGCCCTCAACTCCGCATCGTCAACCTTTCCATTCCCATCAATATCCAGTTTTTTCAATTTTCCTTCAGTAAAGAAAGAGCGATATTTATTGATAGCCTCTTCGCTGTTCTCGACGACCCAAACAGCCTTCCAAAATTTGGGTCCGTTTACAAACCGTTTTAATTCTTCCATGTCAATTTTGCCGTCATTGTTTTCATCTGCTGCCTAAATTTATTTTTTATGACTGAAAATGATTTGTTAATGTGCGAGCCTATCAAATTTCAAATTAATTAGAATTTATTCAATATTATAATATACTTAATATGCTTAATATGAATAGTATAATTTATGCATTATTTTATTTATTCTAAATATCACTCTTATACTGACAAGTTCCGTGGCAATCTCATAATATTTTTGTAAGTCAATGTTCATTGACTAATTTTACTCGAGTACGTCTGTTCAGTGCGCGAGTTTATATACCTTAAATCTTCTAATAGAAACACGCCTATACTCCTGAAAATCCTGATCCTGACCCGGAGTTTCAAAAAAATTTTACAACAAAAATGCGAATTAGTGTAAAATTTGGAAATAGTGAGTTAACACTCGTGAGTAGTTGAGGGATATCAAGTGGGATATCATTGTAAGGATTTGAAGAAGTATCAATGGATATAAGAGGATTTTAAGAAGTAAAGGGGATATTGGCGATTTGGGGCATTAGGGAGTATATGGGGATTAAGAATGATATTAAGAGAGATTTGAAAAGATAAATTGGAACATTGCGAACGAAAAGGGGTAAACTGCTGTGAGCGAACCAGCATTGTCAGTTGACCTGACTTACATCCATCCATTTGTTATCCTGGATAGCTTTAGGAACCAAAACAGCTAGTATGTGCTTTATATTAGAAAAAAGCTTAATAGCCAATTATTTATTCATAAAAGGATTAAACTGGGAATATTTCTTTATCGAGTTAATCCATACGAAAAAGAATCTAGTATTTTTGTAAGTCAATGTCCATTGACTAATTTTTTTCAAATAGGTCAATTTAGCGCTACAATTTTTAATTGTTAAGGCGTGAGTTTATTCAGATCGAATTAATTTACAAAACGCTGACGTATGTAGAAACTAAAAAGAATGATAAGGAACTAACTAGTTGCTGGCTTTTATACTAATCTGTTTAATGGCGTAAGATTAATTTAGGAAAGAAGCTTAATATTCAATTATTTATTTATTTAAAACTAAATATTTGAGAATATTTCTTTTCATAAGTTGGATGCAGAGCCGTGTTGGTTTATTTTTGTAAGTCAATTTGCATTGACTCTTTTTTTTCATGCAAGCCAGTTAAACACTATAATTAGGTACACTCTCAAGTAGCGCGCGGCCACAACAATGCCAGGCCATAACTAGCTGGAAGATTTTTGAACCATATCAATTTTGGTACCAATCTCTTAAGCTTAATATCCAATTATTTATTTATTTAAATTTAAATATTCGAGAATATTTCTGTTTCTAACTTTCTTTTGAGAAGTCTTGTCTATTTTTGTGAGTCAATTTTCATTGACTATTTTTTTCTGTGCAAGTTAGTGCAACGCGATGTTTAACTAATTAACCCACCGTAAACAAGTTGGCCTTTTTCTTTGCTCCAGTGTTGTTATTGCTGGTTTCTTCAACTTTAAATTTTAGTTAAGCTTTAATTTTATTAAATATCACATTGATAACCTTTAGATTCCTTTGAATTTACAAGAATAATAAGAACAAAAAGAAGGATTAAATTCATTATTATTGGTGTTGCTTCCATTAATATGTGAGGAGTTACTGTTATTTTGTAGTATATTTTTTAAATTAGTTCTGAAATTTTAGAATTTATTTTGAAATTTATTTGGACATTCTCAATGGTAGCAAAAAACTAAACGATATTAAAAAACGAAAAAAAAATTGGAAATAGACAAGTGAGTTCAATTAAACGAATACCCTAATCTTGGGCATGTAGAGGAATGGCTTTTATTCCCTAATCTTTAATCAAAAAAAATTTTTGCCTGAGCGATGCTCGGCATCCAAAAAATAATGACCGCACAATGGGCTACAAACGACAGGGAAATAATTTCACAAGTTGTTATATATTATAATTTCAATTATTGTATATTTTTGAAACATTACAAAGATCTAATGGAGGGTATGTTGGGTGGAAAGGTGGAGAGAAAATTTCATATGGACTACTGGATGGGAAGCTGCCTAGGCTATTTCTATTATTCAAGATGCGACTCATACGATACTAACTCAAGTTCTTTGAGTATATTTGGAATTTTACAGCGATCAAGAAATAAGAAAAAGAAGGTAATATTTGCCTAAGCCTTGCTCGGCATTCAAATATAATTTGGAAACGGGACGGATCAGAAGGTCTGAGTCCATTCAATGCTTTTCCAAGTAATCTCTAAATCAAAATATAATGTAATATTTGCCTAAGCAGAGCTCGGCAACCAAAAATACTCGGAAAAAGAAAATATTGTTCAACAGAATTGCAGGGCAATAGTTGAAAAATTCTTGTAAAATATAATTTCAAATATTTAATACCTTTGGAACATTATTCCAATTTAAGATGGTTCTTGGATATATGATAAACCAG